GGAAGCTCCGCGCGGGGCGTCAGGGGGCGTCCGAGCGGCTGACTCCTTCCCGCCAACGGCTCAGGCTGCCCCCCGTCCGCTCGACCCCCACCTCCAGACCACAGACGCCTGCACACTGCGCGGCAGCCCCCGGCCACCGCAGCGGAGCGCATCTCAGCAGGGAAAGCCCACCACGCCTTCGCCAATAAACCGCCCCCCCCCCCGCGGCGGCCGGAGCTCACGGCGCAGGCGCGACGGAAGCCGAGCTGGCCCCGCCCCGGAAGCGGGTCGCGCGGTCGGGCCCCTCCGCTCCTGGCTCGGCGCACGTGCCATGGTGGCCAGTGGGGGACCGGAGCTTTATCATGGCACTTTCAGCCACATCTTCAAACTGAAAACTGTCCTCCAAATAACCACTGATTCTGCCCAGCACCTACGCAGTGAGTTGCATCTGCAGCCTTTTGAGTATGGCAGTTACTCATGTGAGGATCCAAATCATTTAAGCATAATTTTCCAGTCTTAAGGAGCTGCCAAAACGAAACTTGGTTCTAATATTGCAGACACTAAAGGCCTACCCCCAGATTAGTTGTTGCTTCGTTAGGAGCACTAGGGCGACCACCACGGACCTTTTACCTATGCGGTAGGCTCAGTAGTCCACTACACCCATACATCCCTTGGGAATGCCTTGAACCCCTCATGCGCATATGCAGCTTCTACCAAAGGACACTTTCTTGGGTTCGTCGATTCATACAATGAAACTTAATCACCAGTTAAGACTTCTCTTCTCCAGCAGGGCGGACATCTTTACAATCTCCACTTAAACATGAACAATTTGAGTGGAACAGTACAGCCCAACTGGGCAGAGGTTCATGCTTAACCAAATAGCTTCCTTTAATAGGGCTATGGGAACCTTTAAAAGGGTCAGCAGGAAGCTAAGCTTCACCAGCTTCCAGAGGCACAGCTTGTAAGTAACTAAGCGAGTTAATATAAACTAGATGGTTGGTGAGGGGCGTAAGTCACAAGTGATACCCAAGGCGGGGCTCAGGGCGTAGAATGGGGGAGTGATAAACTACCACAAAGCTAGTACCAAGGGTTCTTTACACTCTTACCAGGGAAGAGGCCTCTACACAAATAAACGAAGGAGAGAGTGGGAGAAAAATCACATTTATTAGTTAAAGACAACCACAGGCTGGACAAAACACACATGCTAAAAAGTGGACTGTCTTTTAAAATTTCAGTTATATAGGTAAATGGTTTGTTCCCCCCACAGCCCACAATCATTTCCAGGTTTACAAATTAGAAGGCCCATATTAAAGACATTTAAACAGTAAAATATGTAACAAAAGCTCCAACCTAGCCTGAAAGCACTCTCAAAATTATGAACGTGACTAACCATATGCCACCGAGAACTGCTCAGGGTACTGGTCTGTTTTCAGTACTACAAACACCACCCCTCACCCCAACCGTTTTACACTTCAGAGGTTAAGGCCTCAGTTTGGTTACCAACTGAAATGAAGCCTCCTGGAAGACCCTTTTCCTGGTAGAACACACCAGACTTCCTGGGAAGACACTAGTTCTTAGCCACTGCTCAAGTTACAAAGGTTGGTGAGCCGGTCGTCTAGAGCTACCCGTCCTTCTAGCAATACTTCTGTCAAACCTAACACAAAGACCTGGACTGTACTCAGTGCATGCTTGTTTATTACTTCCTAATCATTTTAATTTTTTTTGGCTAGGAGCATAGTACACTTTTAAGATCTCTAGAATTCCCTCAATTATTATAAAAACATTCACAACTCCCAGTGTGATTAGTAAAACCTGGGACATTGTGGCAATTCAATTCAGATTCAAACTTGGCTCCTTTGGGCTAAATTGAAGTCTTTTAGTTTTGTTCAGCTGGTAATCCACAATATAGCTACAAGTATAATCTTTTGAAAAAGCTATTTGAAGCTCTGTAAGTCATTAAACTTTGAAAAGAACAGTCATCCATGTTCATGTTGTTCCCACCTATGCAGCTGATTTCCCTATTATCTTAGTAGTTTCCATTTAAGTACTCTAACAAAGAAGGAAAGCAGGCCATTAAAATGAAATTCCCTGATGTTGGATACTCCTGATAAAGCTTTTATGCAATTTGACTTTAGATAAAATTAAGACCAATTTTGATTCTTGAAAAATGGAAGCACTAAAGGGCCTGGACACCCCACCCAAGAACAGGAAGCAGTCACTTTATGATTAAAAAGGAAAAAAAAACCAAAAAACAAGAAACAAACCCATACCATCTAAACAGTTTTACAGACATCATATATGTAAAATAAAGTACAATTTCCACTAAGTCAGTCTTCAAATATCTTTTATTGGAAGGCCATGCATTGCCTTCATTTATTGTATTTCAAATCACTGTACAGTTACTTTTGTGAAAACACTGCCTGCATTGTCTAGTACAAAAAAAACCTAAAAATTGTTTCAGGAATGTAGAGAAATATCCAACTTAAATAGCGAAAAAGTGCACCATAATTACTGCTGCACTGCAGTCA